AGATGGATGGACAGTGTCATCAACGTGACCAACATGAAGCTGTCCCAACTCCAGGAGGCCATGGAAGACAGGAGGGCCTGGCGTTCTCTGATCCATGGGGTCACGAAGCGTCAGACACGACTTAACAACTAAACAACAGCAAAATCCTTACTCAGGACTGGTATCGGGACAGTGTCATCAACGTGACCAACATGAAGCTGTCCCAACTCCAGGAGGCCATGGAAGACAGGAGGGCCTGGCGTTCTCTGATCCATGGGGTCACGAAGCGTCAGACACGACTTAACAACTAAACAACAGCAAAATCCTTACTCAGGCCTGGTATCGTGCCAGCTGTGAGACTGTGTCCTTCCATCAAAAGACGTTTGGCACCTTCCTCTCCTTGCTTTTGTTATGTCTCTTTAAACATTTTTTCTGCCTGCAGATCTTATCCACCAGATTAGTTCTGTTCACAGATCACTCCATTAGCAGACCTCTATGAGAAACTAGCAGAAGAGGGATGTGCCAGAGATATTTCTCCTGGCAGAAAAAGCTGTGCCTAATCTTAACAATACAGATGGACCCTGTACTTTCTCTCTCTCTCTCTCTCTTAACCACCCTACCCCATCCTCTTGGCTCTTCTTAATTTATATCTCTCCTTGCATGCATTTTATCAATGCTCTGAATCATAGAGCTGACCAGTGCCCTTTTAGGACATCAACTCTAACCCCCCATTTCATTGATCTTGGACAACAGTTTCCAGAAATGTTAGCCAACATCTCCAGTGGGCAGGGATTCTGGGTGTTGCTGTCCAAGAAGAAGCGCTCCCAGGTGCAATTTGAGCCTCCCGGCTCCAGATGTTTTAGAATTCAATTCCAAGAAGCTCCAGTCAACCTGGGCAGTAGTCTGGCATCCTGAAACCTGACGCCCAAACAATTAGTTTATCACTCCCTCATCTGACGCAGGGCATCCACTGCCAGCAGAATGCTGACCTAACAGGAGAAAAGCCCATTAGATCCCGAAAGGGAGAAAGCCGAGCTGTTTTTTGTCCAATGGATCCCATAGTTGCTATTAAGAGCATGAAGCTAATGTTCATCCAAAATCTAGCCTATATGATTTATGCCCACTGAATACCATCTTACCACCTGGGGCAGCGAAGCAGAAGGATAATGTTTTGCCACAGCCATCGCTAATGGCAAGACTTAGTGCTAAGAAATTGCCAAAGAATTTCTCCTTCTCCATTTCAGACACTTCTGTGAATTTGCCTTCTCCCCTTGCTTCTATTTCTGTGTGCAGCAATTTCAAAATTGGTGGACCATTTCAAAAGGCCATTGGTGCACGGCTGCGGTTTTCCACACCACCCTCCCTCCCTCTTCATTGGCCCTCCCATGAAACTATTTGGTATAAGTTTTAGACTACAGCTCCGGAGACTCGGGTTCAAATGCCTTCTTGACTAGGAAACTCACTGGATTATCTTGGGCCTCTCACTGTCTCTTACCTGACCTACCTCAAAGGGTTAAAGGACAAACGGGAGACCTGAGTCTCAAGATGTATAAAAACATGTTGAGCCTGAGCTTTTTAGATAAGAATAAACTCTGCATTGCCAACATTTTTATACATCTTGAGACTCAGTCTCCCCTTTGTACTTTTGCCCGCAGTGGATGTACCAGTTCCCTCTGCTTTGCTACCTCAAAGGGTTGTTGTGAGGGGTAAAGTGGGGAGAGCCCTTTTTACTATGCAGCAGTCCACATTCAGATGTCAGGGAATAAGCCGCCTGGTCTAATCCAAAGGCTGTTGTACTTGATCTCTCATTGTCCCCAACAACTGGAATCTGAAGCAAGTGGAGGGGACTGAGATTCCTTACTGGGGTGATAGAGCTTATCCAGTGTACAGTGGTGCCTTGCTAGACGATGATAATCTGTTCCACTGAAATCGCTGTTTAGCGAAATCATTGTCTAGCGAAAAGCATTTCCCCATTGGAATGCATTGAAACCTGTTTAATGTGTTCCAATGGGGAAGAATCGTCGTTGTGTAGCAAAGATCGGCCATAGGAAAGCCACTTTGCAAACTGCCAATCAGCTCTTTAAATTGCTGTCTTGCAAAGCTTAGGTCCCGAAAACACCTGTTTTGCGAGCACAGAGGGAGCTGTCAAAATGGTTGTCTAGTGAAAATCGTTTTGCGAAGCAGGGACCAAACATTGTCCAGCGAAATTCCCCCATAGGAATCACTGTTTTGCGAATCGCTATAGCGATCACAAAAAGTCAATGTCTAGCGAAAAAATTGTCATGCGGGGTAACTGTCTAGTGAGGCACCACTGTAATAGTTTATTTCAGCCTTGTTGTAGTCGTGTGAGGCTCAAAAACAGGAGAATCTGTTGTCCTTAGGGCTGGCTCCAGCAACAGGGTGTAACTGCCCCAGAAAGATTTCATATAATTTCAGGAAAAGAGCTAAGCTAAACATTGACATTCTGAGCAACAATTCCGTCATTGTGTCAGGACAGATCTGTGAAACAGGAGGTCAGTTCCTGTCTTCTGCTTGGAGACCTGTGTCCCATCCCCAGGATTCTCATCCAGAGCCAAGGTCACAGGGCAATTCTGAGAAATTTAGAGCGGCCCACCCTTTCATGGATCACAGCGAGTACCCATCATTCAGTGGAAGGTCACCGAGTGTAGGACGGAAGGATGGGCATGGAAAACACATGTTTCCTGTTGGAGACACAGGCACTGTCAGAAGCATAAATACAGAGGAAATGTTATCACATTTGCTCATGGCTGATGATGTATGTCATCTTCCAAGTAACACACCTAATGCTTGGGATAGGCCAGCCAGCTGTATTCTTGTCAAAGTTGGATCATCAAACAGTGAAGCCTCTTCATTTTCGCGATCAAAATGGAAGTGCCCAATGATTTCAGAAGCTCAAAACCCTTGATGCAGTGTAACTGCATGTGATCTATGCATGCACATAAAACTACCATCTTTCTCTAAGAGAGGAAAGGACAATATGGAATTACTTAGAGGAGCAACAGAAGCACAATGGCGAGATTCTTACTGGTGCTTATGCACATTCTTTGTAACTCACCACTGCTAATTGATTAGGAGCCAAAGTGTGTCTTGATTGCATGCCCGGTGCACAAGTGAGAAACACCTCTGCACCTTGTCAATTAGCTGCATTTGGCCCTGGCTAACTGCTACGCTGGAATTCCATCTGATGGAATACGAATTTGGGTCCTGGAAGGGGAAAATATGCTTACACTGTATACTCAGCATGGTGGGATGATGAACTAGGACTTAGAGGATATCTGGGATCACATCCCCACTTGGTCATGGAACTCACTGGACATGTGTGGGACCAGTAAAACCATTCACTTGCCTTGCTTGGTTAGATATGCCACCATAAGTGCAGTGGCATAAGTTGCAATGAACAGCTGCTAATTAAGAAGTTGTCACAGGTACCCCTTCCTTTATGCACCAGTTGCTATGAGTTGGTAGGTAATGAGGGACACAAGCGGCAACTCATTAACTAGTGCTAATTTTCTGCCATTGTTTACACCGTAGCACTTAATGTCAATATAATTAACCAAAAGGATCTTGGTCAATTAACTTCTTGGTTAGGATTGTTTATTCCTACCTGCAGATCCTGCTGGTGACTCATAGTAAGCTCTTGCAAGAAACGTAGGCAAAGTGTAACCCCTAAATTCATGTGGCCACCAAGCAACCTCAGGGCCACTCCTATTTTTAAAAAAGGAAATAGTGTTATATGTCCCTACGTTGTATACTTGAGCATGCACACCTACAGATTTGTTCTTATGTACCAAAACAACACAGATAGTGGTGTGGTCCATTACACAATCCAAATGCAGAAAAGGTGATCTCTTTACTTAGGCCACTAAAAATCAAACATTTAACACACACTTCCATGAACAAATTCACTTTCTCCAGTATAGGGGTAGAAAAATTATGAATGAAAGTCCCAAAAGTGGTCATGGCAAAGCTTTACTGGGCATGTTGATTTTACCCAGTGTGGTGTAAGTGGACAGAGTGACAGACTAGGACTCAGGGGACCTGGGTTCGAATCCCTGCTCAGCCATGGAAGCTCACTGGGGGTGTGGCACTGGTAAAACTACTCCTTCAATATCAGACTTATATTGAAAGCCCTGTTAGGGTCGCTGTAACTCGCTTCTGACTTGATGGCACACAACCACTGCAAATAGAGGTTTTACATTTGGATTGTTCTTCTGGATGATCAAGTCACTTTTGACTTCTGGAGATCCTATGAATTCATCCCTTCCAAAAGGCCCTATCATTAACAGCCTTGCTCACGTCTTGTAAAATTGGGGGTGGGGTGGGTGGCTCATGGTTTCTTTTATGAGTCAAGCCACCCCCTGTTCAGCCTTCCTCTTTTAATGAGGCCTTCACCTTTTCCTGCCATAAATGTCTTGTCCAGAGGGTCTTGTCTTCTCATGATAGTATGTCCAAATCACAATATCCTCAGTTTACTGAGCAAGACAGGAGGGCCCGGCCTGCTCTGGTCCATGGGGTCGCGAAGAGTCGGGCACCATTTAATGACTAAACAACAACAGGCACATACAAACACAGGTGCAGTTGTGTTGCAGAGTCCTGCATAAATAAAATAAAATAAAATAAATCGAAAGGAAAAGGTAAAGCAAAGCATGCTGCTTGGATACCATCTCATAGCGCTCGAAGCACTCTCTGGACGGCTTACAACTTAATTCTGCAGGCTGCACATTACCTGCCTCCCCCGCCCACCCACTCAATTTACTGATCTCCGAAGGCTGAGTCAACCTCCGGCGATCTACCTGCTCCCGGACTGAATCGAGGGGATGCCCAACGGTGCCACGCCCACCCCGCGCACGGACACGCCCCCTTTCCTGGATCGGGCCGCCCTTTAAAAGCTTCGGCGTGTTCTCCTCGCCCAGATGCATCGGCTCAAGGTGAACGAGGGAATTGAGGGCGGCGGTGCTGGGGGGTCCCTTGCAAGGGCGAAAGCCGGCTGAAAAGAAGAGATGAGTTTCCCTCCGGAGCCCCGGGGTCTCCTTCTACTCCTCGTCGTCTGGACCGCCAGCCAGCTCTGGCCTCCCTCCGCGGCGGAAACGGCGGCCAGCCCCAGAATCATCATCATCACCTCCTCCTCCCTGGGTAAGGCTGCGGATGAAAGCGGTGGGAGGGGGACGCGATGGCGATGGCAGGCGTGATACGGACCCGGGAAAGGTCCCCCGGAGCCTCGCCAAGCCTCACTGCCGCCTCTCTCGAACCCCGACCCGGGAACTTGCTCTCCGGCCGGCACACCTCGCGGGGAGGCACACGCTCTCCTGCTTTCGAGCTTGCCTTTGCTTTTTCACTTGGTTTAAAAAGTTAAAAAGAACCTGGGATCTTACGGAGAAAAGGCGCCGTCGGTATCCAACGACTTTCAAAGGTCGACTCGGGGTAAAAAAAAAAAATTGTATTCGAACTCCGCCGGGTGGGAATCCCTCGCTCCACGGCTACTCTTTCTAAGAAGGCTTAAAAGCGATGCTGGGAAGGGGGCCGGGGGGGGGGCGAGCAAGGCTTCATTCGCGTCCTTCTGCTCAGCCCCCCCCCCGCCTCGCTAAGGAGCGCGCTGCGCAAAACGGTTTGGGATGTACCGTTTACAATGGGGCGCCTTTTACGCGCGACGCGCCACCGCAGTGCATCTGCCCCGCGCACGCGAAATCCAATTAACTAGACGAGGTCAGCGTTTTACCAAAGGTTGGAAGCCCTGTGCGCGTTTGAAATGGGTGGGATTTGCTCCCGAGTAGAAAAGTCCCGTGTAGAAAGCGGGCAGTGCGCTGGGACACCCAGAGAGCAACCCCGTGGCTACAGGCATGGCAACATTTATTTATTTGGAATATTTTTTTTACCCAGGGCGGCTTACATCATTAGTAACGATTGCTTAAAAACGATGACTAAATTATTATTTTATTATAATTTTAATGGTAATTTATAAATTGTTGCATTAAATAATTTGAATACATCATTTGCACATGAAAACATGATGAAATAAACATTGTTTCAAAGTGTTAAATAAATGCATTATTCAAACGGATTAAAAGCAGCAAAATACTAACCACTTCACTTTTAAACCCCCCTATTAGATAGGCTTAGTGACCATTCCAAGATAGGGGTTTTATTTTAAGCTAGATGTAGGGCTGTAATTTAATCAGGAGAAGAGGAAAAGAAGAGGGTGAGGGAGAAAGTGAGACTCTTTTGCATTTAACTAGAAGTAAAACTCTGGATTCCAAAGGGGACTGGCTTGTTTTTGGATTACAAGATGGTTAAAAGAAATTTAAGTAGTGGGCTGGAAAGACTGAAATGAAATCTGGGGTCAGCTGTAGGATGCTGGCTACCCAGGCTTTCTGTGAACCCATTTAGTGATTAGAGTGTTTTTCTTGCAACTCAGGAGAGCTGGATTCAAGTCATGATATTCTCTGGGTGAACTTGGAAAAGCATCTTCTTGCTCACCCAGACTTGCATTACAGGGTTATTGTGAGGCTCAAGTAGGAAGAGAACAGGGTATGGGGTCTTGAGCTCATGGAAGGAAAGGTGAGATGCAAGTGTGGTTTATGGAATAATTATCAATTGGCCCAGGTGTGTAAACTATTTTCCCATAATGTCACAACAGCCCCATAAAGTGAGGCAAAATAAGTAAGGCAGAAAGAATCCCTTAGTATTTGAAGAAGGTGGAATTGTCTTGATTACTCTGAATTTACTTTGTAGAAGAAGGATAGGGAGAAACAGGTAAGTCTGCATAGCATTGTATGGTAAGAGAAACTGAACAACATTGCTGTTACATACCACCATAAAAGTTGTCTCTGTCTTATGACAGCCCCATAAATGATTGATCTCCAGAATGTCCCGTGCTCAGTCACCATACTCACCTCTTGCAGACTGAAGACTGTGGGTTCCCTTAGGGAATCGATCCAACTCTTGCAGTATTTGGTCTTCCTCTTTTCCTACTGCTTTCAACCAGCATCATTGCCTTTTCTAGAGAATCTTGCCTTCTCATGATGTGTCCAAAATCCAACGGCCTCGGTTTCAACATTTTTGCTTCCAAAGAAAGTTCAGGATTGATTCGATCTAGGACCCACTTGTTCATCTTCCCGGCAGTCCAGCTCTCATCCAGCCCCACATTTCAAATGAATCATTTCTCCCCCTGACATTGTCCAGCTTTCACACCCGTACATGTTGATCATAAATACAAGAGTATGGGTGATCTTGGCAATACATTTCTGTATTTGGTGATGTTTTCTAATTCCTTCATTGCTGCCCTTCTGAGGGCCTCTCCACCCTGCCATATTGTATATGGATCGCTGATGGCATGGGGGTGGGAAGACTTCACCTGCAAGTGTGTCCAGCTTAGAATGATCTGTCCTTCCCCTCTAAGAGCTGTCATGCACTTTTCTGGCCAGCAGTAGGGCATGCATTCTTTTTTGTGTGCTCGTTATATAGCCAGGAAATAACAGCCTTTGACAGCCTCAGCTTCCAACTGCCGTTGTGGAGAAAGTGGGGAGAAAATGAGGGATGGGAAGCAGGGACTGAGGAGAAAACAGAATGACACTAACAGAGGGAGAGAAGAAGGACGTAAAACCAACCACCACCTTCCCCTGCTCCTCCTCAGACTCTCAGGGGAAGTATTTAATTGATAGCTGATCAGGGTGCAAGGGATCATTTTCTGTTCCAACGGGAGGAGCATGCCAAATGGCAAATTACTCCCCCCCCAGACCCTTTCTAGCCTGATCCACCACACCCCAAAATGGCACCAGTCTGGACAGGCCCTCTGAGTCTCGGTCTTCCTCTGCTTTCTTGGTTGCAGCCTCCATTTGGGTTGAGGAGTAAAACCGAACAGCCGTTTGCCAAAAGTACAGTGACTAAAGAGGGTTCTAGTGAATTCATCACATAACCAAGAACTTCAAACTGGGAATTTTTGTGAAACAAACAGTGGCTGACAAATATATATATTTGTTTGGTTCACAAAAATTCCCAGTTTATACATATCAATTTAAAAATTTAAATATATGTATATCAATTTGAAGCACTTAGAGTATCGATGAATTCACAAGAACCCTCTTTGGCCACTGTACTTTCTTACCTCTGGCCACTGGAGGCAAGAAATAGTAGTAGGATAATTCGATCTACACAGTGTTTAATTGTTGTAGAGAAAGGACATTTTTTAAAAAACAACAACACATCCTAGTCATCTTTTGGGAGTACAGGGTGCACAACTCAAATCCTGCTCCTTCAGTTCGACAAAACCCATTAAGATGGGTGAGGTTGATTGTTCTAGGGTCATTCTGTATGCACCAGAAATTCATACTCTGACCATCTTAATAACAGTCCAGTCAAACTTAACGGCTGTACCATTCTCCCTCTTACCCCATACCTGGAAGACTTGAAGCATGCCGTGATTGCTAAGTTTTCTAGAAATGCTCTCAGTGAGCTTTGGAAGGGTTATGTGGTTGGCCCTGGCATCCTTCTTTGGATCCATTTCTTCATTTTTAATCTCAGAAAAATCCTCCCCGAGATATCCTCCCTTCTCTTGACTACAAGGATGGGCAATCTGTTGTTCTCCAGATGTTTTTGAAGTACAGTTCAGCAGAATGTCCATCCGAGTTAGTAAGGTACATGCCTTGTTACTAGCATTTCCAACAATCTCTTAATTTATATTGTTTCTGAGCTATTTCTTTTCAACAAAATAAAACCAGTGTATCTTATTTTGTTGGGGCTACACCTGGTCAAAAAGCTTGTGATTTGAGGATGCATATTGGAGGAGTGTGGAGGAATGATCTGGTGAAAACCCCCCAAAACATTCATTTTTCTGGCTGCTTTTCCCTGTGTGTGTGTGTGTGTCTGTGCCCAGACAGATCTGTGTTTATGCATCCCCCCAAATGTACTGACAATAGCTAGGTTCCATATGGGCACTCCAGAATATTTGGGAAATATTTCGGTTTTTCCTTAAATGTATGTTTTGGCTGTCCTGCTTTGGGCACATCATGAGTAGGCAGGACTGAATGCCAAAGAAAATAATGCTAGGAAAAGCTGAAAGCAGGAGGAAAAGAGGAAAACTCGAATATGAGATGAATTGATGTGATAAAGGAAGCCATGGCCTTCTGTTTACAAGATCTGAGCTGTTAAGGACAGAACATTTTGGAGATCCCTCATTCATTGGGTCACCTTAAGTTGGCGGCGTCTTGATGATATATAACAGCAACAACGCATTGCAGATCTTTTTCTCTGCAAAGTTTGTTGTGTATGGAAATGGAAAGTAATGGAGTCCTTAAATGAAATCTGTAATTATATACTTGATGGTCTTTAATTTAACTGGAACAGGTTGCCTCACCTTAACAATAAGGTTCTTACTGTCAAGGCTTCTTCATTTCCTCACAGAAATTTCTACCTAATTATGCCTCCCCCCAAAAGCTTTTTGAAAGGAACTAGAGTGGATCGCTAAAATGAAAGCTTCAACTGTCTTATCTCGATTTCTAGCTTTCATTTATTGCTTAAATGTCTGTTCTGTCTTTTCTCTCCAAGTTCAAGGTAGAGTCTGTGACTCGCCTTCCCTTCTATCCACACAACTGCTCTTTGAGGTGGGTTGAGGGGGAAGATTTTTTTGTGAGTGTGAGGAACAGGCATGCAGGTTTGAGATCACCCTGTGAGCTTTCACGGCTCATTAGGGGCTAGAACCTTGATCTCACGTGTCCCAGACCAAAACTCTTAGTGACGACACTGTCTCTCATTCCAGTTACTCAGTGGCTTCACATAATTTGCTCCGCTCCAAAGGTTCACAGAAAGATGATCTACTTGTAATCAAAATCTGACAGTTCTTCTTCAGAAATAAAAGTGAAAGTCTGTGTAGGCGTGATGGTATGTGAAAACTATACTCTTGTTTGTTGTAGTTGTAAAAGAAATCACTTTCACATGTAAACAGGACTTCTGCTTTTACTTTCACTCTTCTCTCCCTTTTAAAGTGGGACTGGGCAGACGACAGGTTTGTGGGATCAGAACTTTATAAACTGTGTCAGCTTCTAGCCGCCTAGAGTGGTCCGGTGGTCCAGATAGGTGGGGTATAAATCAAATGAATGAATGAATGAATGAATGAATGAATGAATGAATGAATGAATGAA